ATTCTCTAAGGAATGATTGAACATTTTCATCTTGTTCAGGTATTGTAGCTTCCTTTTCAATGCTCCGTAATTGTGTCAAAAATCTATGGTGTGCGTTTCACCCTCTCCATTTTATGACTAGCAATAGTTGTGACCTTACTATCACATTTTCCCTTTAGGATCACTTTCTTTTCATTGATAAAAAATTTCATAATTAATTTGAAATTTTTTTAAGAAATATCATCTAGAGTTAATAGATACTCTATTTCAAAAACAACCACGTAATCCTCCAATGGTAGTAAAAAAAATCCACGAGCAACTTTTGGTCGTATATAACAAGCTTCACTTTAGAACATTTACTATCACAAGTTAAAATTCGCTTATCAACAACCTTCTCTTTGCCTTACATAACAAGCTTCACTTTAGAACACTTATTATTAAGAGTTAAAATTTACCCATTAGCAACCTTTACCTCGAACTTATCACAATATTCAATGCGATAGGCCAATCGCACAGTAACCTTGCTATCCATAAAATTGTTGGTGCTACCAGTATCAATCAAAACAGTAACAGAGTGACATTTCAAAAGCTTTTTAACTTTCATAGTTTGGGGATTAGAATAGCTAGCTAATACATGAACGACATGTGTGACAAGTTCAATAATCTCATCATTATCAGTACCTTTATGATCAGAGTCTATAGTCTTAATCTCTTGTTCCTCCTCGATTGGTCCAATCATCAAAAGTTTTCCTTGCTTGCATTGATGCTTCTTGCTTCACTTTTCATCACATTGCTAGCATAAACCCTTTGTTGATCGTTTTTTAAGTTCCTCTTGGGTAAGTCTTATAGTATTAGGATTCAGATTAGGAATGGTTGAAGTAGTTGACTTACTATTCACCTGTTTATTAACACTCCCGATTCATCGATTTTTAATATTAATTTTTTCTTCATGCTATAGTGTAAAAGAAATTGTAGCTGTAATAGTGTGAGGTCGGCGAGCCTTAACTTCACAACGAATGTCTGAATTAAGACCTTCAGTGAATGTTCCCACCAATTACCTTTCAGACCAATCTTTAGCCCGATTTGACAATCTTTCAAATCGACTTTGATACTCTAACATGGTAGAAGTCTAGCGAATCTTGACAAGCTGCCCATCAACATTTTCATATTCGGATGGTCTAAAACGAATAAGAAGCTCTTTCTTAAATTGCTCCTGTGGGAGAATTCCATTCTTTATATTAATCATACCATTAAATAACATCCCCATTTAGTTGGATTGAAGTTATTTCCACTTTAGAATCTTTTGGAGTTTTATGAAAGAGAAAAAATTTCTCTACTCTAGAAATCCAACTGGTCGGGTCTCCATCTTCCCATTTAGGAAATTCTACTTTCATGCGAGGATATAGCCATTATCATGCTCTTGGGAACCTCTTCCTGTGACTTCAGATCAATGTAGTTGTTTATTGGTAGAAATTGAATTGTCATCTTGTTGATTTTTGTTAAAACTCTTAAGCAAACTCTTTTTGAAATCATTGAGAGTTTCTTGTAATCTACTCTCAATTTTTTGCTTCCAAGGTTTCAAATTGGGATTTCATAAAATTATCAGTAATTATTGCGTGTGATTGTAGATATATAATTTCTAAGTTTTGTTTTCTTAGTTTTGATCAAGGATATGAGCACTGCTTACTAGGAGTAGAAGGTGGCGCTGAAAGTGAAGTTGTCGTTGGCAGCATGGGTGTCGAGGCCTGCGGTGGCATCGGAGAGGAGATTGAGAGAACGTCGCAGTCACTATTGGGTGAAAGAGAATCGCTACTGTGTTTAGGGCACGAGTGCATTTGACGACGAGTCTGTGGCCGATAAGAAAGTTTAAGAGAGAGGATGGCTGTTTCTCTTGCTTTGTCTTTGAGAGAGAGACATGAAAGGAAGCGTCCAATCTGAGAGAAGGTGATAGCGAAAAAAGGGGAGTGGCTCTGTTGACTACCGTGGAAAGAGGGAGATAGTGTCCATGTGATAGTGGGGATTGTTGGCTCTGATACTAGATGATAAAACCCCAGAGTTTTATCTATGAACTTTGAAAATTTGAAAAAAAAAAAAAAGAAAAAAACTAAGAACAAGGGATAAGGATTTGATCATTTCAAATGGATCAACCTCCAAATTGGCCTAAAGTTTTAAATTGTATTTGATTGTTTAAGAAAAATAGTCAAAATATTATATATATATATATATATATATATATATATATATATATATATAGTCAATCACGACTAGGATTTCTAACAAAGGAAATAAATAAAAATATAATTGGCTACATAGACTCCAACTTTAATTAGGAAAAATTAAATTGGAAAATAAAGACTAATATCAAATCCCTAAAATTAAAGAATCCAAACAGTCTTATGCCCTTCATTGTATGTATCTATAATTAATAGGTTTTATATCATTCTTTATGAGCTTCGACCACTATTATACCTTCGTACACATCATTGTTGTGCTAAAAGTTTAAGCGGCTACAGTTAGTAGGTTCTCATCATTTATTAGCTTCAACAGTTATTCACCTTGGTTTACATCTTTCTTGAGCAACATTCTCCTGTTAACTATAATGAAAAATTTCTTTCTTTGTATTTACGAACCAACAAACATGATGATCTTGTGTTGCTTCAGACATATAACTTCGTTATTTTAGAAGAAGTCTTCTATTTGGGTGGAGTTGGAAATGTTTCAGTGGTGATGTTGCTTCTCACAGACCTGATGAGTGGAGTTTGCATGTGCGGGGTCCACAACATCTAGTCGATATGAGAGAGGTCACGTGACTCCAATTTTCATGCCCGATTCAGTCCATATATATAGTTGCTTTCTCTCCCAGAATGGTTCAGTTTTCAAATTATAGCAGATGTTCAAATCACTCATATTGGCATATCTTGCTTCTTGCCACATTAGGAAGTCTCAGCACTTCATAGTTTTCTTTCATAGAAGATACATATTGTTGTATGGTAGGGGATCATAAATCGACCCTTAATTGAGTCTAACAACATAGGAGGTTCCTAGTTTGATTAGTAATTACTAAGAGGTCTCTCATGTGGCATGTGTTTCTTCAGCTGCTTCCCATCTTGTTTGCTGGTCATATCTTCTTATCGGATGAAGGACCCTTAATTGAGTCTAATAACATAGGAGGTTCCTAGTTTGATTAGTAATTACTTGGAGGTCTCTCATGTTGCATACATTTCTTCAGCTGCTTCCCATCTTGTTTCCTGGTCATATCTTCTTATCGGATGAAGGAGAGCATCATTTATGTGGTTACTCTAAACAGAGATTGATAGTTAGAATTAGCTGTACTTTTCCAATTTATAGATGATATTTTTACCGTTATTGATGATGGACAAGTAGCAACGGATTTCTCTTTGATGATAGACGAACCAAAAAGAGAAATAAAAAGATAATAACTGAAAGATAATTGAAAAACATAACGAGATAACTACCGGACTCACTTTGACTCAAAGAGTGAACTCTCATGATAAAGGCCTTTGCACCTTCGCCTGTCTCACATGTGAACAATGGAATCATACCATTGGAAACATAATTGTGGCCTTATATCACTCATTACATAAGGTGGGAAAAGAACAAGATTCATTGATTCATCTTTAATTTATGCATCACAATACTATAGTCTCTTTTTCTATGCTCTAAGTACAATAATAAAAAGGAAATTATAGAAATAAAAAATATTACAATCACATCAAATCAAATATATGATGCCATCTTTCCTTTGAAGAAGGTAATATTTCTGATTTTATTTGAGAAATATTTTTTCTTTCTTGATGATATAATTGATTGATAGATTTTCTTAGCTTTGTCTTGATTGATATGAATCTTCAATCTAGATTCATAATCTTCAATCTAGATTCATAATCTTCAATGAAAAAAATAATCTGATTTCTGCCCCCTTTTTTTTTGTGTGCATTTGCTTCCCTTTTCTTCTTGTTAAGTAGATGTCGATATATGACAATTTATTACATATGAGAAATATCACTAAACTAATTAAATTTATTTAAATGAAAGATAAACTCATTGGTTCCACATTGTTTGCTTCTACTGCGTAGGAACTCATTCTAGGTTCATATAATTGAGATATAGATCAGCCTTGAAGATAGAACATCTAGGTTAAACTAAAAGCTTTGATACCAATCGGATGTAGGACTAGTAGCAACGGATTTCTTTTGATGATAGGCGAACCAAAAAGAGAGAAATAAAAGATAGTAACTAAAAGATAATTGAGAAATATTACAGGATAATTATCCGACTCACTTTGGCTCAAGAAGTGAACTCCTAGAATAAAAGTTTCACACCTCAATCATACCATTAGAAATATAATTGTGGCGTCTCACTACTCACACATAAGGTGAAAAAAGAACATGACTCATTAATTCATTTCTAATTCATGTATTACAATGTTCTAATCCTTTTTAATAGGCTCTAGTACAAGAATAAAAAGAAAATTATATAAATAAAGAATATTACAAACGCATCAAATCAAATATATGGTATCATATTTCCTTTGAAGAAGGTAATATTTCTAATTTGATTTGAGAAATAATCTTCGTTTCTCGATGATAATCTCAATTGATAAATTTTCTCATCTCTGTAAAGATGAATATTTAGTCAGAATTCATAATCTTTAATAAAAAACAAATCTGATTTCTGCTTCTTTTTTCTTCTGGATACTTACGACATATGTGAAATACCACTAAACTAATTAAATTTATTTAAATAAAAGATAAATTAATTAGTTTTGCATCAGTTGTATAGTTAATTTACAATTTATAGACTGATATGGCGGCCAGTGTGGCCTAGTTTTAGGGAAAAAAATGTTTCTTAACCAAAGCCAGCAATCATATTCTTCTGTTTCTACAATAGTGATGGATGAATCAAAGTGTTGACCTAGTTATGTGATTTCAATCATCAAGGCAATTTGGTTATTCACATGCTCTCTTTTTTTTCATCTTTTGCCTGTCTTATGGATGCAGGGTGGATGTGATACTTGTGATATGGGAGCTGTTGATGTTTGCTTTCCTTGTTTTCTCAGGAGTTGCTTTGTACTTCAGGTATATGAAGATTGTTTTTCTCCTAATGTGTCTTACCACTCTTATGCTTGTGTGCATGAAAGTAACAAAGCAAGTAGGACAAAACAGGAAGAGTAAGCGAAGAATGCTCCTCCCACTGTCGATGTAAACTCTCGATGACCATCCCATTCTTGTGCAAAGGATTTTGCAGCCAAAATTCATTGCTACCTTTCTTTGTATCTATCTATCTTTAAAAAAAACAAAGAGCTTGCATTTTTTTTTTTTTTGACTTTTGGTAGTTCAACCATCTAAATGCAAATAGGCAACTAATTTCTGGTGCATTAATGCTAGTTAAATTTGATTTTGTTTACACAATACCGATCAAAATATGTACTTGTTGCTCTAATCTTGCGAAACTTATTGTATTTACACCTATGCTCATCAGGTAAAGATTTGAACAAAATAATAATAATAATAATAATTCCTTTTATTGCTGTGATGTCAGTTTGATAACGATGAGTGACATTGTTATAAAACGTCACCTAAAAAAGCTAATTTTATTATTAAAACGATTAAAGTAACCACCAACGACACAAGATTTAGCATGAATACCTAATGTCCTTAAAGTATCTTGTTATTAGAAAAAACTGATGACTTAACAAAAAGATTGGGTCCCTATTGCAGAACATCTTATTTTTAATTTTCATCGTGGGCATCCCGCATCCATAATTTACTAGTAACTTTTAAATAAATATTTAAAATAAATAGTAGTGAAAAATTGAGACGCTATGATATAAAAGTTATTAAACAGTTTTTTTTTTCATTAAATCATGGGTAATTGTCCAGGAAAATATTCTTTTTATGGATTTCTTTTGGATGTTATCTTCTTTTCATAATTTTCAAACAGTAGTCTCCTATTTTAAAAAAATCTCTCAAAAATTATCATATATTTTTACGCCCAAATTCAAAAAAAAAAATTTGTCAACTATTCATGGTGTTTTTTGTTTTAAAAATATATAATATTTTTTAAAAAAAAATTACATAGTGTTTTTATTTTAAAAATATTATAACATTAATGTTTAGTTAAAAAAACATCATACATTTTTGTGCCACAGTGCTTTTAAAATACTACACAGTGTTTTATGGATAAAAATTACTATATAAAATATCGTAAACAGTTGATGAAATTTTTTTTTAGATTGAGACAAAAAAAAAAAGAGAACCTTTTGAAAGGATAATTTTGAAATATTAGAAATAGGAGGTGACTCTTTGATAATAATGAAAAGATGTACCATCTAACAAAAATAAAATAAAATAAAAACTATTTTTTCTTGAACAATCACCCGTAAATTATTAAAGGAATATATTTTTTTCATACCATGACTTAAATTGATGATCATCAAAACTTTCTATGTTTACTTGTATTTGCATCAACTAATCATTTAATCCTACCTTATTGATCGATCGTCATGGTCTGCGCCAGCTGTAATGCTTCAGTGAGGTATCAATCTATGCGTTCTTTAATACACCTACAACCACACCTCATTCCCCCATCGACCCCGGAAACAAACCTCGAGACAAGCGACTCCAAAGGTTCGGCTCCTCGCGAGGAGGTGAGGGCGAGAAGACAGTAGGAATCTCTCACCAGTAAAATACTGTCGATCACGGGAACTCTGTGGTAATGGACACGTATGGTCGTGAGATCCGAGGAGATGAACCTTACACGGCATACCCCATCGGCCATCAAACACTCCATTATTTAGTGCCTGACTCCATAACTCATCAGGATTTCCTTGGATACGCCTTACAGAGAACATGGACGCCAATGTGAGGATCGAGGTGACCCGCTTTGAAAGCAGGAGGGGTACGTGTTCACATCTCCGCGACTACAGCAGAGACGTGGTCCATCCGCGCGCTAAGTCACATTATAGGCGTCAAGATCTGGACTCGCTGATGGGCCCGTGGATCGTTCATCTTTCATCGTCACTCTTTCTAAAGGCCAACTCTTTCCTGATGGGTTCACGGCCCCCCCCCTTCCCATGAATGGACCAGTGCGCTCCATAATTGCGTCGGCAAGGATTAATATAATTAGGAATAACGCTTCGAAAAAGTGCATCAGTATGCGTAATGTCCTTCTAATGCACGAACCCATAATGGATGATGATGTTTCGGTGACGTGGACCCATACCCATGTTGTGATCGAAGGAAGACGATGCCGACCATTAATTTTGTTCATGTGGGGTTTGTGAGGCCACGTGTTTCCCTCCGGCCGTGTGGCCCCTCACGTGGGTCACCAGCCTACTATTTGCTCACTCTCTCCCCTCTCTACCCCGCTCGTGTGCGCGTTGGTTTTCTTCTGTTTATCTGAGTTGGTTGATTAGTTCTTAACGCTTCCAAGTCGACCGACCGACCGACCGCTTCCCCTTTAAAACCGCCCTCCCTCCTTCCCTCGTTTCCCTCCCAAGAACACTACCGATTCACGAGAATTGAAAGGAAACGAAACAAGGCAAAGCAATAGAGATTTGGGGAAGAGAAAGCGTACCAGGTGAAACGAACGAGATGGTCTCCGGATTCCGCCGCTCCGTTTCCCTGCCGGGATCTACCCCGAGCGGCAGCCCCGCCGGACGCCGCTGCGAGAAGCCTCACCACCTGCGCTCCGCCAGCCTTCCCTGCCGCTCCCACCCCGCCATCTCCCACCTCCTCGACCAGATCCGCTCCTTGTCGGACTTGGGAATTCGCTGTTCCCCCGCCTCCGGGCTCGACCGGATCGATCGCCTTCTATCCGCCCTCGATGACATACTCCGCCTCCCGCAGGCACAGGATCCCCTCCGCCGCGGCCCCGCCTGGGCAGACCGCCTCCTTGACGGTTTCCTCCGCCTTGCCGACGCCCACGGCTCCTTCCGCTCCGCTGTCGTCGCCCTCGAGCAGCACAATGCGGAGGCCCGCGCCGCGATCCGCCGCCGCGACCCCGTGCGGCTAGGCTCCGCTGCTCGGTCCCATCGTCGGGCGGAGAAGGAGCTCATCCGGCTCGCCACGGCCGTCAAGGATCTCGCCAGATGTCCGCCGCTCATCTGCTCGGACGCGGCCGAGGCCGAGGTCGCCGGGATCGTCGCGGAGGCGATGGCGGCAACTGCGGCCACGTCGGCGGCGGTTTTCTTGGGGATCGCGGCAGCCTCATCGGCGGTGGCCGGATCAATGTCGAAGGGCTCATGGACGGCGTGGCCGTCAAGGAGGCCATCGAAGAAGGGAAGCGAGGAAGCGGAGATGGCAGCGATGGAGGAGTGCATGGAGGGATTGGAGGAAGGAAGCGGGAGGGTATTCAGGAGTTCGGTGAACATTAGAGTGGCGCTTCTCAACATACTCACTCCCTCGCTGTAGAATGTGGAGACAAATGAGAGATTTGTACAGTGATGATCATAGAAGAATTTTGATTTTTATTATCCTTTTCCTCCGGCAGGCATGTATGCGTGTTTGATTCGTTTGTATAAACCGCTTTTGCGTAACGAATAACCCTTATCAAACACAACCACCTGTGCGTAGCCAAACCATAAATCGTTGATTCCAAGGTAACAAATGAGCCGTAGATGTCTAAGCCCCACACACATCTCTGGTGAAACATTATTGATAAGAAGTTTTATGGTACTTACTAAATTGGCTCCTGTAGCAGAGCAATTCTAGTTCCGGCCGGGTGCACATTCCATCGATCACCTCGCGGGCGACGGAATCCCCAGAAAGGTGCCAACGCGGCTGCGGAAAAAGTAGGCTGAACCGGAGGACCTCCGCGCGAGTCCACGCGAGCGATGACAGAGGCCACATCTGAGGCACGTTTGCTTGCTGCCCCCCCCCCCAGGAATCCATTGTAGAAGCGAGCGTCGAGGGGACATCAGGAATCCCAGAGTAGAATCATGCACACTCCACCTGTCGTGTCCCCTTTTGTTTTATTGATTGCCTTTCTCCTCTCCAAATTGCTATCCTCTAATCGCACCGTGTCCTCACGTTTTAGATATATGAGAAAGTACGTCACCCTCTAATTGCACGTTAAATCAATTAATGAATTAAAAAGAGGCATTTTAGAGGTCACGATATCAATGTTACAATCAAGTCACCAATCTTGTCTTTCTTTCTCTTATCATATGGCTGTCTTCTCTCACTGAATCATGTACTAAAATTCTTTAATATCAAGAGGGGAGGTCACGCCAACGTGCATCAAGCAGTCGGACACAAATGAAAACCAAATAACATTTTCATTTTGATCGAACACAGCGTATTACTCACCATTGAAAAGCTGTCAATGATTACAGATAACGAAGTCTTGCAATCATCACTGATTAGGTTCCAATAACCAAATCAACTGAAACACAGCGAGCGTGTGATGTTGCTTGCAACAATTGATACAATAATAATTTTATTTTCTGTACCTTTTACCATCTTCCTTCTAATGCATTATAGGATTGGTATGATCAACAAATCGATTGGTATATGAAGTATTCTAGTTCAAATATTCGCACCCAACTAATGGCATGGTAACCGTCTGTTAGTAGTAGTAATGTGGAGCCACAATGATTGATGATATTATTTGGAATCTTTACAGCTCCCCTCCTTCCGCTCCTACCGAGTTGAGTTGACTCACATCAAACCGCTACTATGTTGGATGGAAGCCACAAGTTTATTTTTGGTTCCCACGTGTACCGACCCACGTTGTGCTCCCTCCGCGCCCACACTTACCACATGAGATGTCGCTTTCCGGCTCTCGGACGGTCGTGTGCGCATCGGTTTTCGTCCCATTTCTTTAATCCCAATTCACTTGGAACGCGCTCGCTCTCCCCTTTATAAGAACTGCTTCCTCTCCTTCGTTCCCATCTCACGACACCCCATACCAGAAAGCCAAATAGAGAGAGTTGGGGAAAACGTACCCGAGAACAGGAAACGGCCGAGAGATGGTTTCCGGATTCCGCCGCTCCCTGTCACTGCCGGACTCGAACCCCAGCGACAGACCCGCCCGCCGACGCTGCGACAAGCCCCAGCACTTGCGCTCCATCAGCCTCCCCTGCCGATCCCACCCAACCCTATCCCACCTCCTCGATCAGATCCGCTCCTGCCCGGAGTCCGGCCCTCGATCCCCCGCCTCGGGGCTCGACCGGATCGACCGCCTCCTCTCCGCCCTCGATGACCTCCTCCGCCTCCCGCAGACCCAGGACGCTCTCCGCCGCCGCCCCGCCTGGGCCGATCGCGTTCTCGATGGCTTCCTCCGCCTCGCCGACGCCCACGGCTCCTTCCGCTCCGCTGTCGTCGCCGTAGAGCAGCACCACGCGGAGTCCCGCGCGGCGATCCGGCGGCGCGACCCCGTGCGGTTAGACTCCGCCGCTCGATCCCATCGTCGGGCGGAGAAGGAGCTCATCCGGCTCGCCACGGCCATCAAGGATCTCGCCAGATCTCCTCCTCTCATCTGCTCCGACGCGGCCGAGGCCGAGGTCGCCGGGATCGTCGCGGATGTGATGGCGGCAGCCGCGGCCACGTCGACGGCGGTTTTCTTGGGGATCGCGGCAGCCTCGTCGTCGGTGGCCGGCTCATGCTCCAAAAGCTCATGGACGGCATGGCCGTCGAGGAGGCCATCGAAGAAGGGAAGCGAGGAAGCGGAAATGGCAGCGATGGAGGCGTTGGAGGAGCGCATGGAGGGATTGGAGGAAGGAAGCGGGAGGGTGTTCAGGAGTTTGGTGAACATTAGAGTCTCGCTTCTCAACATACTCACTCCCTCGCTATAGGTTTTGGAGCCAAACGAAAAATTTGAAGCCAAATGAGAAAGTGTATAGTGTACAAATAATCATCATAAAATGCAGAACAAAAAGAAATGAAGTCTTCCTCTGTTTTTTGGAAACAGAGTTCGAATCTGTCATTACACTAATTGGAGATGAACGTTGTGCACATTTTGAATATGTCTGTCGGTGGATCCAATTTTTTGTAATTTTATGGGGTAAAAAAATAAATTTATTTCAATAAATATTTGATATTTAATATAAAATATAAAGATAAATTTTATGATGCAGAATAAAAAGGTTAAAAAGATAGTAAGTTCATGTAGCGAGTTGATGCCACTCGGGTAGCTCTATAGTGTTTATAATCATCACGTAAAGATAAAATCGTTGAAAAATAAATTATTTAGACCGTTATTTAAGGTGATTTTATAATATATGATTTGATGAGTTTATATAATAAGTTTATACCGTAACGAGCAATATCATAGAGATTAATATGTTGATAAGGGGGACGTGCAAGTGGGTGTTAATTTACAATTAGGAAGCACATGCAGCCATTTCATTCATGTAAGGCACACACGTTGGATTCGAAAGCATTCTACAATTGAGTCGATAATGGTTACCCAATGCACATATGGTCAAAGGGCACAGGTTGGCTTCTAACCTATTAAGACAATAGTTTCTCTTGATATAATCCGCACCTTCTAATAATTAGGATGAGTTGGCAGTAATCAAGCTCACATGGCCAACTATGAGCCAATATAGGTTAGTTTAGTAGCAACTTGTTGTAGAAAGACAAACTTCATGGGCCAAATGTTGACCACACTGTGGTAGCCTAGGTATATTTGACCTACTTCAATTAAATTCGAATATGCTATAATTTTATGGATATTGGATGAATTAGGATAAAATTATAAATATTTACGAGATTAAATTTGGGTTCTTGGGTAATTCCCCTTTTACAATTGAGATAGAGTTTTAAGACCATATCATTTATTATAAAGCTTACTATTCACGCCTCATCTCTTTTTTTACCATTGACAATCTTTTATTATCGATAACCCCTTTAAAAAAAATAAAATAATATTTTATTATTTATAGTCCTTGTGGTATCAATTTTATTTTTATTTTTTTCTTATTTCATCACGTCGATGTTGCTCGATGTTGTCCGATCTCATTCACCACTCCCTTATTGTCGTCCACTAAAAAGGAAGAAGAAGAGAAAAAAAATAAGTAGATATTTACGTTCATACACAAAAAAAGGATAATTTAAAAATATTAAAAAATTTCAAAATAGAATTGTAAATTGTAAAAAGGAGATTATAAATAGCAATCTCCTTTCTTATTGAAAAAATTGGTTTTTTTAAATACCCTTTTCTTCCTAGAGTTTTTGATTTTTTTTTTATTGCTCACCAATACCCAAAATATCTAAGTATTGTTGGATTTGAGTCGGAAATTTAATTCAAGTATCTAAGTATCAATTGGACTCAAGTGTTTGAGTTATTATTGAATGATAATGGCAACAAATGATTCTTTAAAGGCATCCCATTGTGATTTGTGAGTGGTGAACATAGTGGGTCCTAAATGGATATTTTGTTCATGCACAGTTGATGGTTCTGCCAATTAGGCCCATTGGTCCAACTTATGAGAGAGAGAGAGAGTCTCTGTCTTTCTTACTCTACTAACTTTGGAGTTCATGTTGATCCCCCTCCCTTGTCTGAAAAGTTTTCTTTCCAAGAGAAAAAAACTAATATATTACAGATAGTTCTCTGCTCATGCAAGCACAAGAGCTTTAAAAAAAACAACAAAAGGATGTCAGTCCGCCCTCTAAGTCCGATCAGATTTGTACTCTTTAACAAATGAGACAAGCCAATAACACATGTTAATTAATCTCTCTAAAAATATGCAAAATCTCTCAAAGAGAAGTAAGAAGAAACCAAGGAAGGGGTTCCTCCTTGTTCAAAGCTTTTATATATAATCTATTTCTCATAAAAGTCAATCATCATTGATGAATTTGTAGTTAGCAAGAAGAAGACAGTGAGCATCTGTCATTCCTTTGAAATAAAAAAAAAAAAATTAACACTTTCGAGCTTTGACGTGATCCATTGTCAAGAAGACAATGATCCATTTCTATCGTGCATAATATTTGATCGAATCACTCATTATCTAGCAGCTTAAATTTATTCTCAATTTTCTAATAAGCTGCTCTATTCCTTTCTCTCACTCTCGTGTTGCGTATTTATTTCATGACGTTTGATTACTCTTTGCGTAAAGAGGCGACACTCCACGGCCAATAGATGAAGGCCACGTTGCCTTAGCCTTCGCCACAGTCGTGGAAATGGATTCTTCCCATTGGGGGCCTCGTCTCACCCCGAAACTGTGGTCACCGAGTTGACTCGCCAACCGCATCACACCCCTCGTCCCCAAGCTTGACGCTTCACGTGTTCCGACGGGAAGGTGTGCCAACGACGGGCCACTGGTGGTCCTTCCCGTCTCCATCTCCGCCGTCAATTGCTGTAATTTCTTGGTGAGATGATGATGGTAATGATGATGATGTAAGCAGGCAACGTATGACTTGAACTCCAAAAATTGATAGTGCCCGGTCTTATCTCAATCACTCCTAAGTATATGTTCTATGTGAAGGTTGGGCTAATTATAAGTGGACAACAAAGGTCGACGGCAGTTTGGTTTGGGATGGCCGTCAATGGTACTAGCGAAGGTAGGTCAGTAGGTAGTGCGTGACTTCGTATTATGTACACGGACTCGGCGTATAATGTACGCTACTGGGGACCACGACGCCTGTGGCGATGATTGCGCCGCTTCTGTCCCTCGTTGCCGACGCGCCTTGGAAACCCATACGGTACATGTGACGCCCTTCCGCTGTCGCTGTCTGATCCTGATTCAACGGCCGCTGATGACCGGCACAGGGTAGTAGCCGGCCCTTTTTCTTTTGTGTGGACCCCACCGGCGAGTAAGCTTTTAGACGTAGAAACCAATTAATGTATGTGACTGTGTATATCAAGTATGATAATCTTAATTTTAACCTATGAATATAATCAAATTTCTAATGAGTCAAGCAAATTAAATGTCAAAATCTTGTCTTGGGATTGCCGATTACCTTTAGAGTGCTCATACATCAGTGGTACTCTTTGAAAACGTGCAACCATTGATGAGAGGTCTGGATCTTCGAAGCATTGCTCGGGTCCTGAACCCCGCACGAATCTTGGAGCGGGCTTTTGATCCTGCGCACGCCTTCTCGGAGTTGGAGTGGACCGGAAGAAGGTCGGGGAATGTCGTGGCGTCCCTCGGGCCGAACACGCGTCGGTCCCGGACGCACACCATCCCCACACGGGGCCCCCGTCACGGCACTGGGTCTCCTGGGTGGGTCCCAGCGGGTGGTTCCAGGACGGGCTCTTTGTCCGCGTGTCTTAATCCTGCATAAATTGTTAGTACAACGTATACGTATACAAGCAATAAGACGCCGTTTTGTTGTACTAGCAATACTAAGATAAAGATCCACAAATCGACAGACCGCTGTACCGGTTTGGATTCAAGACCACGGATCAAAAGGATCCGACCTTTCCTTACCGGCAATAATGGAGACGTTGATGCTCCTCTACTTTTTATGGGTAAGATGTTGATATCCTTCCACATGGGTAGGAAGAAAACACGGCTTATAAACCACAATAAATCATGTATTTAATGCAAATCTTGGCTTCTCCATTAATGAATGTTTCAATTGTTTTATTCTCAATATCATCATCATCATCGGTTGCAGTTTAAACAGTGTTTAAATGACTTGATGTGATCAGATTTTTTTTTGTTTTGGAAGGGGGAAATTTGAAGAGAACAGATCCGTGTCCAGGCATTTGGCATAAGGAAATGGCGTGAAGTCAACATTGCCATTTGTGTTTCATGCAGCATCTTATTTACTTTTCATTTAATTAGCATTGTTTATTAAGATATGCCTTTAGATAAGTAGTATTATCCTTTTGTACCGTGACTAAGAGAGAGAGAGAGAGAGAGAGAGAGAGAGAGAAAGTTCCACTTGCCTCGTAAACACAGACTCCTTCTGTAGCCCTCTGCAACAAAATGTTCCTCTTGCCTCGTAAACACAGACTCCTTCTGTAGCCCTCAGCAACAATGTGGCAAGTGAATGATTCTGCTTTATTGAAGTGATACTCACTGCTCTCCGCTTCTAGTGATTATACAGCTGTGGCGTCCTGCATCGCTCCCCCTCCTTCTGCTAGGTTTCTTGCAGTCTCCCATATAGCTTCTGCCTACTGCCCAAGGAGTTGATGAAGACAGGCACAAACACAGATCAATGGACAGGAAGCGGTGGAGGAAGGAGAGCAGTTTGGGTGTGCAGGTATCCGAGGGAGACCGACGGCTTGCACGTGTGGGTGACCACGGCGGCACGATTGGCTTGTGCTAAACCCGAGACTTGGAAGACATGTATTCTACTGTGTATTTTAAGTTTGTCATACTGTTCTCCACGTACGTGTTGTGTTCCTCTCTCTCTCTCTCTCTCCCTCTCTCTCGCACACTTCCTTTTTGTCATGGTGTGCAGGACGGTGGCAAGATAAAAAAGAGAGGGTCAGAAAAGGTTTATATATACTGCCTCTAATATCTTATCCGAGGCTTACTTTGAAGGCACGAGGGGCCAGGGGAAAGGATCTGGGGGAGGAAAAGAGAGGCGGGAGATGGAGGCGGTCAAGGTGGGAAATTCAAGGTTCAAGAGGATGTGCGTCTTCTGTGGGAGCAGCACAGGCAAGAGGCACTGTTACCAAGATGCTGCCGTGGAGCTCGGGAAGGAGCTGGTAAGTGGTGACCCTTTCCTTCTCTTCCTTCCTTCCTCCCTCTGCGTGCCGAGCGCATGCAGCTGCTGATGGAACTTGACTCGTGTTCGAGTTCAGGTGGCGAGGAAGGTCGATCTGGTGTATGGAGGCGGCAGCGTGGGGCTGATGGGTCTCGTCTCTGAAGCTGTTCATTCTGGTGGCGGCCATGTCATCGGGTCAGCACAGACTTGCAACTCTCTCGATCTCTCTCGCACCCAACATTGCTTCTCTGACGTGTCCTCTCATCTTACAGGATCATCCCGAGGACACTGATGTCCAAGGAGGTCGTCATGCTTGCTTCAATCTCACTTTCGTCACCTTGCTAGCCTCCATGCCTGTATTAACTGTTTCTGGCGTTTGCATGTGGATCAGATTACAGGGGAGACGTTCGGGGAGGTGAAGCCGGTGGCCAGCATGCACCAGCGCAAGGCCGAAATGGCCCGCCACTCCGACGCCTTCATCGCCCTGCCCGGTCCGACCTTTCCCCATCCAAGTCCTTTCGCTTACCCACCACTGTCGGGTCTTATCTCACTCCATCTCCGTCGTCCTTTAGGTGGGTATGGAACCCTGGAGGAGCTGCTGGAGGTCATCACCTGGGCGCAGCTCGGCATCCACAACAAGCCTGTAAGCCTCTCCATTGATCCAAAGCCCCCCTCCCCACCATTATTACTTCCATGACAAAGCTCGGCAACTGTGCTGGTGAAGGTGGGATTGCTCAACGTGGATGGTTACTACAACTCCCTGCTCGCCTTCATCGACAAGGCCGTGGAGGATGGCTTCATCCAGCCATATCAGCGCTACATCTTCGTCTCCGCCCCCAACGCCAAGGACCTCGTCCAAAAGCTCGAGGTACTGTTGCAGTACATCTCTAGCTCTAGCTCTTTGTATTGTTCTCATGTGAACCTCCATTTAGGTGGGTCTGTGTGTCTCATTCCCTACTCCTTTACGTCCTCGATCTTGACACCACCTGTCGAAGCAGGAATACGTACCCGTGGAGGACGCCGTAGCCGCCAAACTCAGCTGGGAGATGGAGCAGATGGGACTAAACTCCACCCTGCACGCCGAGATCGCTCGGTAGTGTTTTGGGCCCTTCGCTATGCCTGTATTCGTCGCCATATATTTTCTCTTACGGCTGTAATTGTATGTATGCAGTACTGCTTCTAACTCAGGAAAACATCAGCTTTATGATGAATCGTCTTCTCGATGTTGTCTTCGCTGTGCTCTGTGTGGGTCAACGTAGGGATAGGGTTTACCTTCGTCGCTGTACAGCCATTGAGTAGCCATCCTCGAAAGAAAAAGCCGGCCTTCGTGTAGCTTTTGGCGCACTGTGGTGCGCCGTGTGGGACATGGAAGGCAACGAGTGTTACTCGATGGCTGGGGGTTGATGATTGTGAGATTAAAAGGGAGGCCCTTCCATTGTCTGCAGCAACAGGATAAGCTCATCAGGGTGGACGTCTCGTCCCTGTTCTCCACAGCACAAGGGGAGTGAGAGGGGGCGCCCACTGCCTGTACCAGTTCTACGTGCGGTAGTAGTCCATCCAGTTGGGCAAGATTCCTTGGTGTGAGGCTCGGCAACAGTGGCCGATCCAACAAAGCCTGGGCCACTCACTCACCATGAGCAATTAATTCCAGGATCCTTACTGTGTGTGTGGTTCTTTTGAACAGTCTCTCGCTTTGAGTTCTACGTCGGGTTAATGATTGCCGGAGGATGTGACTAGAGTTACGCAAATGATGATGGCCAAAAGGGCAATGGCAATGCGAAGGTATTGGGTTTGTTTATGATATTTTGTAGAGGTTTCCTATGGTCGGTCGGTCGTTTGAGGCCAAAAACAAATGTTAAGAGAGAAATAAAGTGAAATAGACAAAATTAAAGATAACCAGGGTTCATGGCTCACTGCTGCTCCATGACATATACTAACCAAGAAATCAGAATAATCGTGGAGTATATGGTATCAGTATTAGCAACATCAAAAATTTATTATGACGTAGAATCATTCTTATTCATCTTTTATTTAAATAAAACTAACAGGTCATAAGTTGCCACACTATAATATACTAAATCATTTTGATCTAATTTTTTAGTTTATTTAAGAAAAAAAAATTAAATTATGATTGTGATTGAAAATTTCAAATCCTCGTGAAAGATTTTACGAAAATTGATCTCTACAAAAATGAAAGCATATGAATCAAGAATATTATCTTCGAAGATCAAATCATATATATGATTTGATGTAATTATAAGTAGTTTACTTATATATATATTTTTTCTTTCTATACTTAGGGTGTAAAAATAAGCTATATAACATTGCAATATATCGATGAGAGATGAATTAATGAATCTTTTTTTTTCATCTCCTGAACTATATTTCTTTTCATCTTGGGAGTTCGTTCTTTTTCTATGTATTTTTTTTTCTTTTATCTTTCTATTTCATTATCATAAAAAAAATTAATCCTTCTCGCCCTACGTCATGCTACTAAACTGGATGCATGCTTCATTGTTATCGTGAATATAATAATCAAGCAGCCAATTAGGTTGCAACAAGGTTGGATCAGAAAAATCAAGCTCACAATGGACGGATTGCTTCCCTTATGATCTTTTAGCTCTTTTGTATGACGACCTTAATCAAGGTCTTCTGTAGCAAAGTTTATCAATCAAGTAAGGGATATTTGATGTTATCATACAACTTAGAAACTCAACCATCTGTGGAATTCTAAGAAGGATATGTATGAGAACGAGAAAGACTTGTAAAAGAAATCATACTAATATTAAAATAAATAAAATAACTAATTTATTTTAATTGATAAATCTAGACTCATAAAAGGCATTCCGAAAAAGAAGAATTTTTCTTTTTGTCATTTTCAAGTAGAACAATCATCATTATTTTTGATCGAATCTGAATCAAATCGAACTTATCTACTGACTCCAAGATAACCATTGACAATAGACGGCAACACTGATGATGTATAATTTACCTCATAAATAAATATATAAAAGTTCTGGAAACCAATACCGACACGTCCACTCTAATCAGTGACTGGTTGCACAGCAGGAAGAGTCCTTCCTGCGTAGCTTTTGGGCATCATTTGTGGCCATCTCCGCTCTGCCTTTTTGTTTCCTGGTGAAGGTGAGCCGCTGCCTCGAGCTGCACATCCTCCTGAGAGGGGTTGATACAGGGTGGGTGGATGTCGACGGCACACAAACAAAGGCTCGAACACTGTAGCTCTTCTTTTCCAAAAGTGGCGAGGCAGTGAGCAGCTTCGAGGCCGGAGAAGTTTCGGCAGCGGGTGGCTCAGACCTGCGTCGTGTCATCTGGGTCTCGCATGCATGTCCAGTGTTGCTTATGTCATCTGCTATTGTTCTGCGTGTGGGGGATTTGGTGTTGTATGTATAAAATTTATAATATATTATTATTATAAAAAATTATTATAAAAAATTCAGACCAGATTAAAAATACAATGTGTATCTTATTTGATATGTAAATGTATTATCATTGAATTCAAAACTCACGTATGTCGATCTATAAAAAGACTAAATGAGAAATGAGAGAATATTTATAATCTCTTAATGACTTCACGTAATCATCACATTGTTCTTAAGAGATTTTATCTATTTATAGATAAAAGTAGAGGGTTTATGATAAGTAATTAGGAGAGTCTCTCTCATTAGACTTATCTGTTAAGGAATTTTATTATATTTGAACTTTCTTTTTATTGATTGACAATGAATCCAATCATATTTATAATATATTTTTATCTAATTAGATAGGCCATATAATCTAATATTATTTCATTTGGTCCATTGATAAGATATAAAAGAAATTTAAAATTAAAATAAATAAAATAAAATAAAATTTTATTTTATTATTTTTTATTTAATTAGATTTTGAAACTTTGAAAAAATATTTTACCTCTACACACAAATTTTATAAAATAGGTTAATAAATCTAATAAATATAATACCACATTAAGTCTAACAACTAATGTGAGTTACAGTGGTTGTATATCATCATTGTCATATTTTCTTTTATGTACCATAATACTATTAACCCTTTCTTGTGCAGTCTAAAATGCCCCTATAATTTTTTTTTTGCTAAGACAATCCTATTAGTATATTGAACCATAATATATACATATATAAATGTAAACAAGATAACAAAAATAAATAACTTTAATTACATAAATAAGAATATCAACTATGATGTTTACTCAAACATATATCATTATATCTCTTATGGGTTGCTCAGAAACCCAATTATGAGAACATGTTTTTTAAATACTTTAGGTTATAAGTCCTGAATGATTGGATCAATAATCAATACAGTAAAACTCAAATTCTTAATTGACATTAATTATTTTTTATTTTTTTTAACCATAAAGTATTTTATATCATAATGCATAGAACTGTTAGAGTACTTGCTATTCGTAGAGAAGAAAACTACTGTGATATATCATAAAATATCTGTAACAACTAAGCAATTCAGTCTAAACATACCAAGTTCTAAGATAAAATTTTATAATCATAAAGCTTGATTAATGGCATCAAAACATACAATAAAATTAGCTTTTATTAATAATAATATAATAATATATTACTTTATACTTTTGCTTTGTAAATTCTCCCTTCAACTCATATAAATATAAAACGTAAAGTAGATTTTTCTACTATTGAGATAATTTATAAAATCAATATAAAAATATTAATATTTTAAACTAATTAAATTATATATGTGAGTATATAATCCATTTGTTGAATCTCGGATTTTGATGATGAAGTCAATTGTCATTTGTTATCTAATCTATATGTTGAGATAAGTGTGCAGCATTAACTACGATGAAAGTAAGACATGCAGCAGGAGTTGCGCCGGAGTCAAGATAATGATCACGTTGGGAGTTCGAGAGTTCGACGGAAGTTCGGACAGTCGTCGGAGGTTTTGCGAGAACAAATCCGAGAAGTCCATAAGCTTGCCAAAGAAGCTCGTCGGAACTCGCCAAGTGAATCGTCGCAAGTCCAGGAGTT